TTATTTCCGCTTAGGATTGGCTAGATAGGGCAGTTCGCTTACGGTTCACGTTTACAAACCTCTTGTTCACCATGTCGAGAGTGCTCTCGTGTGGATTTATGAACAAATAATGATCCCTATTTTCCTCGGCCACATTTCTTCCAAATAAATCCTTTGCGTTAGACCACTAGTCTAGATCGAGGGAGCACTGTTTGCTCTAATAAAACATTAGTCTTTTGCCTTCTAGTGGAAAAGTTCAATATATGACTGAGTATTTCAGTGGTTTCGCATTTCACGGCGAAATGTCAGTTAAACTCATATTACAACACTACCGGACGAATCTGAATTTTTTAGCATATCCTCACAAGTTGTACTTTTGCCTGGCATGCGGCATATTGCAGAGTTCTGTGTATTGGAGAACTTTGCTTCTCTCAGTGTACTATTCGAATCTTGCTGAAGGCCTTCTTATTAACCTTGATGCTCAACTTATGTGAGGTCGCGAATGTCAAAACCTTATTCCTAATAGTTTGATTATGTCTGTGCACCAACAGGTTTCATCGGAATGCATTGAAAATCACGCGAACATTGAGATATAAACACGGTACACGAATTCCACCCATGGACATAAAGCATAGATAGATTTACTCAAATTTTCCTCTGATAGTGGTGACTATGTCAAGTGTGTCATCCGGTATGGACGAGCCTAACATGATGCAGAACTAATCGATTATACGGGTAGATAGTCGCACATTGTTTATAGCTAGTGGTATTACATACATACAAGGGCAAACATGGAACTAAAGTCAAAACTGATACTCACACAAGTGATTCATTCGGCATTCCATAATGTGACGCACAGCGTATCCCATTAGCATTGCTGAGGCTTTATCTCCAGACTGGCAAGTTCACCTTGCATGTTCTCATGGGGTGTATAGAACATGCAGGGGAAAAACAACTCATTGCTACTCTTGGACACAAACAACATGATAGCCATGTCACAGAACGCTTGGCTGACAGAACGCACGTCGCCACAGACGCAAAATATCATTATGAGAATGAGCACACAACCCTGCCTCTATCTGGATAATATCCGAATTATGCTACCCATTTGGAGCAGATTTTTATCGAGAATAACATCATGCGCTTTACAAGCTGATGTTTGGTCCAGTCTTTTGTACAGCTGCTATTCAACCGACAGAAAAATAACGTAGCCTTCCATAGATTTGATGTGACAATCACGTTATAATGAGTACCTGATACATGAGTACCAATAACTCCAGGAATTCCTGTCAAAATGACTATATGACTCTATTTAGTGACGTGAGCAGTAGACGACATGAAACATTTTCATTGTGCTAAATATTCATCTAGATCAGTTCTCTTCTGTTCGAATGAACAAGCTCACTCTGCGAAAAACACACCGATGGTAGCAGATGTGATATCAGTCTTCCTTCTGTCGTTGCCGTATGGTGTCCTAAGTAGTCCGTTACCTGAGTTTTTTAGTGCACACTCCGTGGCACAAAATCGTGAATGTCCGCCGGACGGTGAGATTTTGAGCGGTGGAACCATTGCAACGTAACCTACTAAGAAGTTGTGAATCCATCTTGTCTGTTCTGACAATAAATTTCGTTTAGACGTTCATCGAAAGCAAAAGGTTTTCAGACCACCATTCATCGAGGTCATCCACAACTTTACCCGAAACTGTCGAAATTCAGTGACACAATCGTCCAATTTCATGTGCAAAGAAGACCTGGCTTAAATTGGGGGAAGACAGCATGGCCTCACGAGCCCACCTGTTAATGGACTCCTTTCGTAATTCCATTATTATTAAATAACAACTAAAAACCGAGTGTTTTTAGTAGGTAACTGATGGCATAAAGAGGAAATCTTAATATGCCATGAGAGCTTAGCACAGCATTCAATACTGCTGTGTTGTTGCTAATATTGATGATGATGATGATGATGATGATGATGATAACGATGGACATCCCCAAGTCTATGTCTACTTATAGTGTTCTATTCACATTTTGTTAATTTCGACAAAACCATTAAAGTCAGACTGAAATTTTGCAGTAGTTCTCGGTTTTTCACAATATTATGCATAATTCACGGGGTGAACTTCCCAACGAACAGCTAGAACCCTATTTTTGTCCACAGGCAACGCAGATTGTACAGCAAAGACATCTTGATATTTTTCATCCCCGCAGACTTCTAAAAACCATATTTATGATTCATAAAAAATTAATTTTCCTCTCTCTCTAGAGGACACGCCCTCAAAAAACGTATTAAAATTTGCATTAGAGATAAGGCTGGTATATAATTTGGTTTTGGCTATGCTACCTGCGGTCACAAATTCTACCGAGCTCAACAACTTGCCCGGTATTTTTCTTCAGAGTTTGTCAGGTCAGAATGTCAGTACTTGAAAGCCGCATTCCTCTCACTTGGAATAGTCAAAACATAAATTAATCCATATACTTTATGGGTGGGAAGGGATTGCATTATTAATCAGACGGCCTCGGCCGAATTTGATCATAGTCACATACCAGACGGGTGATAGTGGTTTGGAATCTCCGCAGGGTTTGATGGGTTGCACATCGCTGGTGATAATTGACAAGGATGAGCCGGCTGTATGATGCCTCTGGCATTTTGGAATCGATGAATTTCATTCGAAGGTTTCTGAAATCCCTCCAAGCTCCCGCGATTCAACCGCACCGGCAAATCTACACCACTAAGCGTTGTGTCTAGCACAGTTGCTTTTAAGGCTGTTTTCCCTCAATCAAACACAGTTAAAATGCTTTACGGTTTAAGGCATATGCGTACGAGGCTCTGATTGAATACACTAGAACAAATCCTCACCCCATAAATGTTTTTGCAGCAAGTTTGTTTTTGGCATTATGAATTTGGTGCCATTCCACTCTCACTCGATTGTAGTGTTTTATGTCAATTCGCCAACAGAATCCTACCATAGAAGTAATCTGAAATGACGCAGATTTTTCAACTTCTTTGCGGGCGGTTTTGCTCTGTAGAAAATACAGCAAGCGTTGGGACGAAAAACACTATGAGGAATCCACCAGGGATTTGAAGCTGGAGTATGAGTGTAAATGAAAGAAACATAATCAGGGTTAAGTTACCTTCAGCAGTGACAAGCAAGTTGCATGCCCATTAAGGAAATTCTCTGGAAGATCATGTTACTGCAGGAAAGCGTGTGAGGCATAGCCAAGTTTGTGTACTCAGGGTTTTGTGGAATACATATACTGGATAACCAGATGAGTGTGGCTATATTTCATCTAATTGCTCGTTAACCGAAGTTGATCAGCCACTAGTAAATTGATGACACAGGTTCAGATTATTGGGGGGGGGGGGGTTCTCTGTTGAAATTTCGGTATGCATGAAATATGCTAAGATACCACCTGTGGTGAGGATGTGACAGCTGCACATCTCATTCAGCATCACTTGGAAGACTTGAACATGTTTTTTTCTGGGCTGAATCACTTTCTCTAACTGCTGACAAGCATGCATGTTATAGAAACAGCTTTTCATTTGCAAAGCTTGCTTTGCTTTGACATCCAAGTTCTCTGCAACAGCTATACCCCTCCAATGACCCTTCTACATTAAGACCGATTTTCACACTTACTGGCGTGTTGCCTGTCTTAAACCGGCTGGCATTTTAAGCTGTTCTATCCATAAACGGGTAACACTAGACAGCATTAGCGGCCGCTTGCACAGTTTCATGGGGAGCACTAGAAATTATCTACCTACTTCAGGTTCTACTAGTTCGGAGTTCATTTTAGCACATTTCAGTGCTTCTTGCCTGTGTAAGATACTTATTTTATCAGTCAGCTACCGCCAAGTAACAGCTAGTTTTCAAAATATATTCATAATCTCAACATGAATTCCGGTTTGTCCTGAATGCTGCGGTTACTTTAAAGGATGGAGATGGAAAGTTTCTTATCAGCCGATTGTTTGTGGTCCTAATGCAAAGAATGCTTGCCGTAATTTTGGGAACCTATTGTATATATTTGACACGCGTTCCTATGATGTGTGCATTGTTGGGTGTGCTCCAATTAGTGCGTTTGTGACGAGCAATCTGATGTTTCTTTCGCATATTTCTCTATGGATTTCACACATCCGCAGACGTGAGTCGTGAACGAAGGTGAGAAATCAACTCTGCTTGACATATTTGGACGAATGCCTTCAACTGAGTGTATATTCGCTAATTCCGTGCATTTTGCTTTCAAGTAGAACATACGGTTGACGGAAACCCGGGGACTGCGCCTACTTGATGAGCCCAGAAAAGGGCGAAACCGGTCGTGAGCTGCCGATGGATTTTCAGCAACCTTATGAGAAGTACATTACAAATATATAGATGGATGCCTTCTAGATTTAGGAGGGGAGATCTTGTCCCACTGCCTACCTAATGAACGCTTTTAAGGCCTCAAAACACTCAAAGTGGAATTATTTTTGAGTTAACTGTGATCTAGCTCTAAATCGGTGGAAGTGTGTTATCTGGGGTCCATTCTTGGAACCCAGGAGTATAATGTTTCTAAAAATACTAGAATGTCATACCAAATTACTTTTCATGCGACACTAATATCACCAAGCCATCCTGAATATCAAGCAAAAATCATGACACAGTTTTCTATTTTTAGTGACGCTTGTGACGTAAATGAGTGGTAAAAAAATCCTCTCCAGTCTATAGAGAAGTAAATAAAATTTAGTAAAGATATCTAACTAAATTTTTTTACCAAATTCAGGAAACCTTCGCCCTACACACTTCTATCTAGCTCAGTAATTCCAACCTGAGTTTGTTTTATCGCTCTGATCAACATCTGGATACTTCCTTTCTTACCCTGTTTCTCAACTAACAACGGTGGTGTTTTCCTTCCGGGAGTGTGACAGTGCGAACGACACACACTTCTTATCACCATTTCCGTTTACAAGAGACAGGTGCTTGAAACCGAGACCCGCTCTCATTCATGTATATTTCACATCCCTCACCCTGTTCCATAAACTCCCATGCTATGATGCAAACTTTTGCACTGATGAAACAAATTTCGTCCGGGTTGTTGGGCACTAAACAACGCTGGCTCTCCGAAACTGGCTCATGTTTGATCGCCTCCATTTGGAAGTATTCGACTCTAGTGCCTGCCCGTAAAGCTGAACCGTCGCCGCCAGTCGAACAGGAGGATAAAGGCCTCTGTGGCGTGCTTGACAGAGGTAAGTTTCTCCCTAACCTTCTGGCTACAGTTTGGTGTCTAACTGTAACAAAAGTTTGGTGAAAAATTGCGACTATGCCCAAGAAGAAAACCAACCAGTGGACAGTGGACATGGTTTTACGAGTCTCGTTTTTGGTCAAGATAAAGAATCGGACATATCCCGTTGCTGTCTTATGGAATTGGACTTAGATGCCACGTTACTCAGAATCAACACTGTATCCACTGCTTTTTTTAATCAAGAAAAATTTCTTTGGATGGGGAAATACCTTGACGAACCAAATACGGCTATTTCTAAACACGTTAACTTTAGATGCAGTAGCTTCTCTTCTATTACGAAAAGACCGTGACGTGCTTAATTACAACATGAGCATGTAAAATGTTGTTCAGAGGCTGTATTACAAACCAGGACGAATTGGTCGATTTGATATAAAGTGAAGTGGTGCGACTGCCCAGTGCTATTTTTCACATACATGGAAAACGTGACATGCGTAACCGTTACAACACGAGACTATTAGTTATCAATGTCCTTTCAAGAGGATCCTGACTTTGTCAGTGGACAGAATAACAGTAGTACTGACTAGGAAATTCAGCCAGCCCACTGTCGACAGATACAGTCCTGCACTCTTNTCCTGTTTGAGAGCAGAGGCTTCACCGTCTATTTTGAGAGCTACAAAAGTAACTCTTGTTCAATTACAGAACATGCACATTCTCGGAGAAAATTTATTTGAAGACGCGCTTTGCTCCAAATTATTTATCTTTAAACATAGTGGTTAATCAATTCAAGTAACACCCCCTATTCTGATCCAGGCCACGCACCGCCGCAGAAGTCAACTCCGAAAGTAGATATTTGCCACAGCGGTATGATACTTGAGGAGATCGGTCATATGAGTTAAAATCCGACGCCAAAACAAACTTTAACTTAGAGAAACCGTACATAAGAAGGAGGTTTGCCACTTCTACAACAAATACTCCTCTTATGTAATTTTGCCTTTATACCAGCGCATTTGTTCCGTAGAGTTCATGTCGTCTGGTGCGGTTAAACCAATACAGCTTGCTGTAACCTACGTGTCTTTTGTCTACGCTGGACGTTTACTATGCTGACATGAAAAGGCATATCGTTACTTTCTTTTCACGGATGAGCAGTTGTTTGCTTTAGCTGACAGAACTAAACTCGTTTGAAATTCTCGCCCCATTAGATTTTGTTCGCTTGACACCAAACGGTGAATCTTCAGCGTACAGCTTACGTACTGGGCTTGAAATATTTTGTGGGTATTCTTTGTCTCATAACTTGAAAGTTTATGAAAATGTAAGGCAGTTCGATGTACAAGAAACATACACGGCGCTAAATGAGAGTATTGGAACTGCCAAGTTGGTAGGCGTGGTAGACACACAAACCAGTATGTAATCTCTCTGAGGTCATAAAAAAGTCCTCCTGTCGTGCTGTGTTGTAAATGGGACCGCTGTTACTGTACCTATCAAAGGTAAAAAAAGCTTAAACTAACGTTAGAAGTGTAGAGTGTGTGGAGTAGAGCACGGCCGCTTTACAATGAGGTACATTTTTCAATACATGTGATAATCCAATAAACAGCAGATAAATAGTTGCTATCATCTGAGGCCTTTAAAACTTTACAAATCGTTTCTAGGATTTTTCAGTTTGGTGCCTGTTCTGCTGTAACAGATTGATGACTTTGACATGTTGACCAGATTTCCTAGCTTGATTTTCAAGACAGTGCCTTTGGTTCAGGTAGCATAGCTGACGAATGAGTTGCTTTTACCAGTCCAGTTGACAAAATAATTGGGTGGTTGGGTAGCGATGCCTGTATTAAGGCTGCCTAAGCCTAGACAGAGAAGCATTGCGCACTGATGGTGTTATCTCGGTTGATGAGAAAAGCTTTTAACAAAATAAGTTATGTCAGAAAGCTATCCAGACATCAAACATTGCAGTGACAGGTTGAACAAGGATAGGGCAAAGGTACTAATGCTTTTTTGTCATCATCAGTGCGTACTGATGATAGATTCTCGTTTGGGGACGAAACGTCATGACGCTAGTTCCATGCTCGTCAAACACATCAACAGCCACCTGAAGGACAACCAGTTGTTATGCACCTATGTCCCAACACTGACTTGACTAATAATATTCTACGGTTTTTTACTCCAATTTAATCGTATCTTTAGGCTCATGTTCCACTTCGAACCACAGTTCATAGAGAACATGGGCTTTTACTGCTAACCTCAAGCCTTTTTTCCTATATGGAATTCAGCATGACATATAACAACAACAAATTTGTTTCGTCAACCCCACTAAAACTGTTGAGTGGGTCTAGTGATATCAGACTGATGGAAAGCTGTGTAAATTAACATTACGTTCACGCGACAGCTATTTTTGGATAATCCTGTTTGAACGGACACGCCAAATTCCTCCGCCCCTCCAGAACAATCAGTATACGTTGATTCACTGAGTTTTAAACGCAAATGATTCCACAAAAGTATATATATATATATATGTATATACATACGCACTTGAGTGACTTGTACAAGTCAGACCGGCGTTGTGGAACTGTTAATCGCCTCAGACTGAGGCATACATTAGAAAAACCTTACGAGCTCTCTCAGTACAGATAATGGATGCATGTCCATCGTTCGGACGATGGATTGCATTTGGCTAAACTTTATACGCTGCACTGTATGTCCAATATTCACTTGCCGGTTAGCAGTAATTTGCATTTCCGAGCAAACTTTGTAGAGTGTACAGCATGGACGATCCTAGACGAGCGTTCATAAATACACCGAAGCTTTGCTTAGTGCCTGTCATCGCACGGTATTGGTAACAACTGGGGAATATTAGACGGGATTTACGGAAGTGCATACATAGAGGCGCGTGAGGATTGAGATGCTAACGGGATATCCGAACGAACGGTAGTTGCAGACTGACCGCTTCCAACAAGAAAGCAGTGCTCGGCCGGATGACTGTTCGTTAGGCGGAATTTGTCGGAACAGTGAAGAAATGTAGAATGGATGTTTCTGGAAAACTCTTCGTCTACCCAGTATGTATGATTTCTGACTCAAGAACATGTTTACTATACAAATTTGCTATACTATTCTTTTATGGCGATTGGTGAAAAGACAGAGCTGAGAGCCCTCCAGGCGCAGCACCTGTAAATTGTATTAGGAATCGGCTGCGTAGATGTTCATAAGAAAAGCAACTTAATAATTGCCATATTACAAACTTTATTTCATGGCGCAGTGAGTGAGTGGTTTGTAGTAAATGACTTACTGTGAAGATGATAAATTATTCACCCAAAAGAGAATACACCATTGACGTGGACAAACATTAGGGCGAAAGCCAATTGTCTGTCTGACACCACGATGCCGCTCAACTACATGATATCAGAATTCTCGGAGTAAGTAACCGTTTTCCAGAAAACAGTGAACAAACGATCAAAGTGCTCAACTTTAGTCATACAGACTGTTACAAAGATTTTTTGGATAAAGTTTTTGCCGATTAGAGGATCGTAGAAAAAAAACAATGAAAAGCCGTCTTGACGGCCTTCACGGGTTTATCAAAATGCATATTCCATCATCATGATACCTGATAATTCTTTGAATGTAGTCACATAATCATGTAGTACATTCCCTTAACCTGATTTTTTGGTGTTGTTCCACTTAGCACGGATTAGCCTGAATTTCACAGCCAATGTGAAATTACAAGCAATTGAATCGGCGGTAACCGGAAACAACCCGGTCTTTCTACCGTTGTCGTGTGGTGACAGTAGCGATTACTTGCCATCACTAGACCAGTTCAACAACCAACTCAGCCAAAAAGTGTCTCTTGTTTGACTAACCGGCGCTAAGTGCAATCTGTTTTGTTCAGCTTACGCAATCGAAACACTTTCACTTCCAATGTTCAGTCAAACGGATGTTGTCCTCCAAGTACAATTAGATGTTGCTTTACAGTGTCAGCCATTCAAAAACCGGGCAAGTGCACTCGAATTTATCGTTAACAGATATTTATTCATTGACATAGTAGGCGTATATTCCATTTAGTGGAAATAATCTGATAGTCAACAAGTTCAGAGAGGCTGTGCCATCCTAACTTACAACACACGTCCGTATAACCCGTAAGTAGCATCGGGAGTAATCCGTGTGAACTGAAGTCAACATTACCGGGTAATCTTATTATATGACTTAAATCTTTTGACAGAATATTAAGCATCATGAAACAAGCGTCGAAGTACATAATTTCTGCACTTCAGTTGCGCAGTTTCACTTAGGATTGGATGCTTTTCGTGGATGCAAACAATGAAGGACAATACTGTGAAGATGTCACAGCCCCAGGGATTTCATGAATTCAGGTTACGAAACGGAGACACTTAGAGAATTGTTATTTGGCGGGATATTTTCACGTCTTCTGTTTCGTCTATCTCCGAGCAACGCTTGCCAGTTTCGATATCACAGGTGAATAAGAGAGAGCTGTGTAGACCTCTGTCTAATAAGTCAGACTCAGTTAAACGCGAGGTTTAACCGGCGTGGCTTAATTCCCAAACAGTTTGATTCATTTCTTACACCTGATGCTTTTGTTTCAGGTTATCGTAAGAACACGCGGAGCTAATAAATGATGAGATTCCGGTCGTAAGGAGTCTAGCAGCCATCCTCTCCGTTCTTGAATTACCATCCTCTTAATACGCCGGAATCTGTCACCGTAATAGCTGCAAACATTGCTTACCAGAAAGTCCAAAATTTTGTCAAATAGTACATGTGAGAGATATACGTATTTTGGCACTTAAAAATAACACTTTGATGCCGGAGTCATGTCGAACAACCGGGCTATCTCAGTTAATGTAATCAAAAACTTGGGACTTCAGTGCAACCGGGACATTATGTTAACTCGATATGTGAACTTCGCTCATACTTTTGAAAGAAACCCAAATGTATCACCAATCGGGTCGCCAGTGCATCGTGATTACTGACAAAAATGCACCAGTAGTACTTGCTGGTGTTTAAGTGCAATATGTGTCGCTAATGCACGAATGTCTCAATCTTCCACCAGTATTTTAGCACTCAATCTGATTTAATGTCTCTTCTCAGCGAAGGTTTCATATTTTGAGTGGCCCGAGCTACCGGTATCCATATGAAAGTGAAATAAAGGGTAAGAAGACGTCAACTCCGTGGTAAACACTTCAGCAAAAGCACGCCTCAGCCGCAGCTGAACCTCTTAGTGTAGTTACTCGATTGCGTCCAAATGTTCAGGCCGATAAAAGTAGTTCTTTTAGAAGTATATTGGAATACGGTGACATATAAGCCTTTGTATTTATACAGGTTGAGCAGTTTGGCAAAAGACGTCAACAGGGCTGCAATATTTATTGGAACAAAAACAACTAAATTTTCGTTAGTTGTCCGAATTGTTCTTCGAACAAGAAACCAATCTGGCATAACCAGATGTCATGCAGCACGATCTGTAAATGTGCGTAGAAAAGCGCAGGACCGTAACACTCGTCCGAGTACCACGTTGATGAAAGTAGTCATATGTAAGTAGCAGTTGGTCCGATTAGATAAAAACTGCTGAAAACCATGTTTTATCCACAGTCTGCAAAAGAGCGTCTGAGGCTGTGTTCACAGATGGTTGCAAGCGGAGACATCGGCAACGCAATCCAAATCTTCACTCAGTATACAATAGATATGCATAAGTCATCGCAAGGCACCTACAGTCCGTTAATCATTAAATGCAGATTTCGATGACAATTAATCTTCGGGAGGTGAATGGGGGGAAGATGAGCCATCGAATGCAAGCACATGTTCATGTTCAAAACATTCCTGTGGAGTTTGCGCTTTGAGTCGACAAACTTATCACATTACTATCCGCCCTGGGAAAATATGTCATAGTTTTTCGACCAAAGCTCGATTCTGCAGCTAGTCCCTCCTCTGGAGTAAAAAATTCATCGTGTTCAGCTTTCGAGAATTTTGTCCTATTCTTGTGTTATCTTTGTTTAGTCAGTCCCTAAGACTGGTCTGCCCAATGGAAGACAACACACCTGAAGTTTCGTACACTGCCGTGGTATTTTTTAACTCGATCAGTCTTTTAACCAGCCTCTTAGCAAACTGAATCAGTTATCATTATTTGTCACCTGGCTAATCAGTTTCAAATTAAACTAGGTCATAAACCCAAACAACTTCTTGAAAAATGGACTTGGTCTGTTAGTGTCCTTTATCCCTGAGAGGTGTCATTGTACTGCACAATCTGTCTGGAATGTCAGGAAAGCTGCAATGCGCTGTCATCCAAGAATCCACTGGATTAGACTTTTACTCTTAACAAGTGTCTCTTCATTCACACGTTGAGTTGCGTTTAGGCATGCTTCTCAAGTCTTTTGTGGTGCTTTCTCAACATCCCACAGATCTATGTTGTCCATTGTTTGAAACAAAATTTCTGCATTTTGCACCACGTTAGTCATAATTTATTTGAAAATTCACAATGCAAAATCTACCACATGATGGCAATTTCTGATAACTCAGACATTGCCTTAGCATTTGTACAAAGTTCTTACAAAGACTACACAGCAAACGTGTGGTGAGTTGGGGCGTCACACAAAGTTTGTCGTGTTTAGTCAAGATCCCCTGAATTTGGGACAAGACAGCGTGAACCAACACAGCAAATAAATAAAGTTGGACAAATTGGGTCCCACAACCGTGGGGTAAATTAGTCTCTGTCGTTCTCCGGTTGCAGATCACAATAACGCTCAATGCTCCGTGAAAGGCAAAATGTGATTATTTGAACTACTACTCCTTCCGTTGAAGGGTTTTATGAAGGTCTAGGTGTAAGGTATCATGTAACATTCCTATTAGACATAACACCTCGCTCATTGGAGCAGTTTGCTCTCACATATCTCTACTCCACTGTGAAGTTTTCTGACACCTGAGTGGCCTAGATATATTTTTCCACTTTTCCCGTACTCATTACAGTTTATTTTTTGTTAGATAGCAGACATCCGACCTATGATTTACTATCGCACACGTTCCACACGGAGGTGAACCGCAAAGGTGGAGTACATCTGAGCTCGGTGAACACGTCTTTATGTCCCCATAATGCGCAGTCGCGGGTGACCACATTTGTGGTCGAATCCGCTTCTCCTCCGATGGCCTCAGCAAAGAGCGAATCAGACACAACCCAGCAATCAGCAACTCGGCGAATCCTAAAAATTCGGTCCACTGATTTGCGTTCCCATCCACATTCAACCCGGTCCAGTACAAATTATGAGACCAACAAAACCGGATTTTCTTTAATCGATGAGTCACGGCCACCATCGGATAGCGGAGACAGCAAGTGTTGTATGATAAGAGCATCCCAAACAAATCCCGAAGATATAATGCAACAGAACAATCAGCAGGACAAACCGGACGGCTTCCAATAGAAAACCAAGAATCTTCGGAAAATATAACCTACTTGTAGGCTTGAAAGTGGATTGCAATTTGATTCGTGTCTGAATTTTTCAACGGTTTTACTTCCTAAGAGATGTGTATCACAATGACACTTGAGATAATTTCTCACTAACCAACGTCTGTGTGTTTTGAAATTTCACACATGGATTATACCGCCTTTTGTTAGACGGTCTGTTTGTCAGTCAAATGAAACCATTCAATGTGCTGAATTTCACTGCATTTTGGATTCTATCCTGATGCTGAAAACAGGTTATCAAGTATTATCATTATGTGACTGTGGCTGTTTTTCGCCTAAAATTACCTAAAGTGTGAGATTATTTTGTCCAATCTGGTTCGCAGATGTGAGAACGCTGGGTTATTTTTTTATTTTGAGGTACACCTTGGGGACGTTTCAGGCTTCGAATAACTCATAAAACTTGATTGTGGAATTCACTGAGATTATCTTAAGCCGGACCTACAGTACACTGACTAAACGCTGAGCTCAAGCATTCACCCACATTCTTTAGTATCTTTAACCAAATGCTGATAGAGACGTCCTCCTTAAAAGTGAGCACATCAAAGCAGACCAATTCGGAATGTTCCCTTCTGGCAGAGGGGAAAAACAAAGTGAAACACAGAATTAAATCTAAAATAACTAGAATGGAGAGTAGTTAGTAGACATTCTAAAGCCAACCGCCCTTTGTAATGGTTCTGTGCAAAACATAAAGTTATTTTTAGGCTCTGCACTCTGAACACAATACACATGGTTTTGAATCATGTCTTGATGCCATATCAATAGTTGTAAACCAAAAACTACGCAAAAGTGTTAGAAAACAAAGAATTAGGATCATTCGTGCTTCACTGGCAGTTTTGGTGATGATAAAACAGATTGCTGGCAACTAAAAGTAGGTAATAACATCGAACACCTCACTAAACCTTGATAATATCTGTGTCACCGCTCACATACCTAGGAGCTAGTACCTTACAGCATTTACAAATCGTCTCGTTGTGCTTTCCGCAACTAGGCGAAATATTTTCCGCGATCATCCCTTTATCCCCGTTACAGATCAAAGAACCACCTAACTGTCAGAGCCCCAGGCTTCCGCAGCATTTAAACCCAGCTTTTATGGAGGCCCCAAGCGTTGAAGATAAGGTTGTGACCAGACTACTAGCAGTGTACAATGTGACACATGCAAGATTATGGTCCTGGTTGAGGACTATATTGCATTCGGACCAAATGTTGGAACATCATTCGAATACTTTCATCACAATTTAAATGCAAATTAGTATAGGGGCCTCTAAAACATTATCTATCTGCTATAGAGCGGTAAAAATCATTCCAGGGACTAAGGTACGTTCAGCCGAGGTAGCGCTCGCAGCAGTAAGAAGTAGCGAACTATGTAGATTTGTTTTAAATTTCAACGGGTGTGAAGATTTGAAGGCAGATTGATGCGCAAGAGAATACTGGTAGTCAAATACGGTCACGTCTGTTAGAATTTAATAGGTGGAACACTATGAGAAGCCGAAGAGTGTCTTGTTATGTTATTTCCACATGGAATGGGTCCGACCGGAAAGGTTTGTTAGTGGACCTTCAACAGAGAACGGCGGATAAGTGATAGACTATCAGTGTCAAAGTCTATTGATAGGACGGCACTTGAAAACAAGCTGGGCGGATAAAACGAGTAAGTTTAACTACATCGAATGAGAGGCAATACAGGATTCCTGTGAACGGATCGTTAACATCCTCCCTGAAAGAAAGGCTGTGAGTGTCGTGACCATTCTTCAAGCTTGACAACTAGGACAACAATTCATAAAGCACATCAGTAAAGATGCCACATTCCGCCGTTCCACTATGTGTCACTCAATTCATAATGCAATTTTTTAGTTAAAAAAGAAAATTTAAACGGCCGTTGTAGAATATAATGTAGAATATAATCCTCAAAAAATGTACTGCGGTATGCAAATTCATGTGTGCTTATTTTCTGCCATGCCACAGTGAGCCCTTCAGACGGTCGACCGTTTCCGTCCTACTAGGAGTGCCCTTCATGTAGTTGGTGATAGACACCATTCTACGCTTTCTTTGGTTAAACCATCCTATTCTAAACTTATTCTACGTAAGCGGACTAGAAAATAGAAAATGTACTTTCAATTAGCTTTGGTTCTGGGTATTTTGACTAATCACTGTTGAAACCAAATCTCAATTTTTGATTTGTCGCCTTGGTATTCCTGTATATTTTGCCGGTAATTTTCGGTAATTTCCATCATTAAAATAGCAAAAATCAGTGTTCAACACCGATGCTTCGCTGCTGTACAATCATGATTTATTTGAAAGCTTTATTGTGAAGAAAAGAATAAAGGTGGACAGTACTTAGTGCTAGCTCACCACAATCATTGCGACGTGCCTAAATCACCAAAATGTTCAAGCAATTAGGATAAAAACTGATGGGAAAGCCATTGACGCCGATTAGCAGCCATATCTTGCAGCGCCCCCAACCAGGCGCAGTGATCACGCGATCCCCTTCTGGTGGGTGAGTAACACCGACAGCACCCAAACCTTTTATATGCTCCTTCACGCCCTTCTACCAGGTCAAGATTTGACTACCTGGAAAGCCCGGTAAACTCATGCGAAAAACAATTAACAACGGTGATGGAAAATGAACTCGTAACTTCTAAATACCAGATTTTTATCTATAAGGTTCAATTGTGGCTTGGTTTATCACTTCAGTTCCTGCACTCTACTCGCACAATGTGTAGCTCGACACTCCATTCGACTGTGCACAAATTTCCGCTGTCGACGTGACCCACATTGGTTTGCATTGATATGCGCACAGCAGACGACTTTCGAAATGGGGCAAACAATGATTTGAATATCCCAGATACAAATGGGACTAAACCATTTACAACTAATTGTCAAGTGGTCATGACCTTGCTCGTCCTGGATCAGTGAGGCCTGAAAATGAATTCTACGTGCTTAGTTCCAAATAAGTTGATAAGTGCACACTGATGATACTGATACCTTTGTCCCTTCAATGTTCACCTTGTGATAACCATCCCATTCCAAATGTCCAGATTTCAGTTCAGATATAATTTTCTTCTTCTAAATATTTCCTTGCTTCTTCGCACATATGAAGCTTAATATTTGGGTGAAGTCAACTGTGAGTAACAAATTACTTCATCAGCGTTGAGTCAGATACTATCCAACTGGTTTGAATTATGGTGCCATCAAATCAAACGAAACGTCAAATTAAAGCACTTCATCTTTACAGACGGATTTGGTAAACAATCGGTGGATTTATTGCCGAGCGATTTTGTTTCGCTCTTGACACAAATTCTTCAGACCGACATCCAGCGCTGGTCAAGTCACAAGAAATCTCATGGATTGGTTTCCGGACTGCCCAAAGAAACCCGATCAAACTGGCTACCTACACACTTGATCTGACGAAGGTTTTGGGTCAAGAGCGAAACGTTGCCCAGAAATAAATTCACCGATTTTTAACAAACCTCTCTCAAATTATTTCTACCCAACTGGTCCCGAACATTTTTCGCTCGTTCATTGCAAATGGACCACCAGACTTCCGTATATAGGTTTAATGACAAATGGTACGCAGATAGCCGAAAATGCTGCTGGATGCGAGAATGAAATAAGATCCGCAGACAAACACAACGAGGTCTTCCAAACTTTATCGACTGGTCTAGGCATGATGTCAGTTGACGGTAATAATGACGAGCATTTTCCACAATAAGTAAACGACGATGAATTGATCAATTTTTATGGATATGCCGAATCAGTTGATTCCGAAGTAATGAAGAGTGTCTACCGATATATGGGTGTTAGTGAAATTGGAAAGCTGAATCCCCGTAGGAATTGGCTGTATGGGACGTTGTACCATTTGATTTTCTTGAGCTATTGGTCCTTAATCACATATGGGGGACAAGTCACAGGGATGAATTGTTTCGAACAACAAATGACATGCATCCACTTCAGAGAAGTCTGGTAAACCAACGGTTACAAAAACATTTTAGTCAGGCAAAAACCCATGTTTAATACTTTATAGCTCACTGTTGGTTGCCCACTATAATCTTTCGGATAGTCACTAATTCACAAAGTTTTGAAAAAAACGTTGGCTCAGAAGTTATGCCGAAAATGTAAGACAAGCCAAACAAGTTCCAAGATTTCAAAAGAACTGGTGCTCAGTGTTTAAAGCTGCTGTGGTAAATCTCTTTCAACCTAGGACTAGTTCAATATTTTGGATTGATATGTTACACGGATTATGTACAAGATAAAAATTAGCGGTGAAATTGGGGGTTAAGAGTGCATTTACCTCGCCCTCCTGTAATTTTGCACCGAATTGTGTAGTTGTTGAATTGTCGGATGTGGGAGAAAAGTAAAATGTCTTCAAGACTACACGGATGTGAAAGAATAGTTTACAACTTTCATGAACAATGACCGGTGTCCCATATGTTCATTGTAGGTAAAAGTGTGAAACAACAAACGGAAAATAAGACCGATTGTGTAAAACAGTAAATCTGGCATGTCGCACACTTTAAATTCCGGCCGTCCTTGCGACTGAGAGTCCGTGCAATTGACAAAGCGTGAAATATACATATGTTGTGTTCTCTTGGGACAAAATAATACAAAAGATGTCGAAAATTTCAACTTGTTTTAGAAACCAAGTTGAATTATTATCACTTTATATATTTTTATCAACTTGCGAGTTATGGTGAACTGATCCAATCCCACAAGTTATTCCGGCCAGCTGGGCTGTTCCCTCATGCGAGTAGGCTGAGTCAGGGTTAACACATGGTTAATTCCCGGATCCGATTAAAATGTATCTATATCCATTCCATCATTCTGAGGCGATATTTTCCAGCCAGTTTAAACTGGTCTTGAAAACTCGGGACCTGATTTCTCCCTCCAGCCAACGTTCATTAACACACCCCGGTAACAGCTGGTACGGCTATCCTCGCCTTCATTTCCCATTCAAACTCGCGTTTGATATAATCACGAGAGACCCATTCTGTGCACATAGTGCGTGTGGAATTAAAATTCTCTCAGACTGTTGGCTTACAGCTATCAAGCAGCATTGAAGACATTGAGAACTTTTAGTGCTTGACCACTGGTATCTTCAGAGGATTGCCTCAGTCTGATGGCAACATCGCACCAGCAATGATAAAGTATGCTGAATGGTCTTCGGAAGAAGTAAACCACTCATTATAAATGAAACAGTCACACAGTAGACTACGCTGGCTTGGCCACGTTCTCCATGTTTTACTCGAACGACTTCCACTGGAAGCCTTTCTTGCACAACCCCTCTCAGGGTAGACCCAAGCCAGGGGAGTCAAGGAAGGACTGGCAGCAGAGCACGAAAGCGTCTTCCGACAAACCCAACTGCGCTGGTCATTGTTGTCTATCAGGATGGAGACCCAGTGTATAAAGACAATGACTAGCATGATCCATTCACGTACACGCATTCAAGCTGTTGTCTTCAATACACATCTCTAAGTTCCGGTCTCCCCAGCGAAACGTTCACTCCCGCATCTGGATTCATATGTTAAACAAATCAGCC